TTCATTGTTTATATCATAACAAGAGTATATTGTTGCATTTAATTCGTAGAAATCAATACTTTCGCTTGCTTGAAAATGATAATCCTGTCTATATATGCTGTAAAAAAAATTATATGTAAAACCCCAAATTTATGGGAAAACTCGATATTTTGACTCTGCGCGTGGGCAAAATGGCCAACTAATTAATTTTTTAATCTTTTTTTTGAGACTTGGGAACATAACATTTTGATAAAGTTCAATATAAGGGACACTTTAATATATATAAAGGGTGTACAAAATGGCCATAGCAAGTCAAGTGGCCACGTCGTATATTTCTGTTATTAGAGTTATTAGCTATTCAGTTCTTTTTCCATATGTTTATTATTATCATTATTATTGACTGATAAATCATAAATGATAATAAGATACGCTGTTGATGAGTGATAACCGAAAAACCATTTTACGCCCGGCTGATTTAAAGGAACAGTTAGGTTTAAAAAATGATATTAATTACTTTAGCCACTAAACTGATTTGATCTTTTTTTTTATCGGACAACACATATTTGTGGATACAATAAAACCAACTTTTGTTGAATTTAACAGTTGCTAAATGATTTACCCAGTAGTTAAAATAATAACTATAAAAAGGGCAAAGTCGCCACTACTAATTATTTTCCATTTTCATTCAAGTTATTATAAGTAAATTACTTTTATTATTATTATAAAACGAATTTTGCAATGTTGACTACAAATACTTGTAATAATTATTATTATTATTTACATGTTTTATAAAAAAAGATTTCTGTTTGTTTATTTATTTGTGTACGATTGTGTTGATTGAATTTATTAAAAGATTTGATGAAAAATATTGTGTTTTGATTCAGTTAAAATAGAAAAGTTATTTCAGGAAATAATATGACAATATTATGTTCTAGTTGAAAATAAAAATCATCTACTATTGGGCAAAGTGTACATAACATGGCCAATTTACCCTATGTGGGTAAATTCAATTGAATTTTTAGTAATAATAAAAAACACATTTGGTAAAGATAGAAAAGTAAAGTTTAAGATAAATTAATATTGTTAGATGAAATTAAAAAGTTAAGAATTATATTTTGTATACAAGTTGTTTAATTGGTAAAATTTAATTTTATGATTTATTATTTATTAATAAGTACTTTGTAAACGTAATCAACTTTTATATAGTTAGTTTAATTTTAGCGCATACGGGTGATCCAACTAACGTAAGACGCTCATTTTCCATGAAAATATGAATATTAAGAGCATTTTTTCCCCTAAACTTTTAGGTAAAAATTTAACTACATTTTTCAATATTTTGAACATTTTTATTATCAATCCTTTTAAGCCAAAAAGGGGGATTTTCGGTTTTTTTTAATGGCAACATATATCTTTAATTACATAAGTTTGTAGACAAAAAATGTAAAAATATGTTAGCGTTTGAATTTTGTATTTTCATTTATCTGTTCATTAGCAATGACTTTGTAAAGATAATACATTTCCTCTTAATAATTATCATACTTATTCGGTTTTCCAAAACCGGTAGCACATAAAATTCATATATATGTTTGCATTGGCGATAACATTCTAACAACTAGGAAATCACTATAAAAGATTTTAAAATAATGATAGACAAACGGTTCTTATCTACAGATTTCTTAGATTACAGGTTATTTATTAATTATTATATATGATTATGATACAGAGTACGGTAAAACGTCAAATTATTTATATGGGATTTAATAAAACTACTAGTCTTTTTAGTAACGATTGAAAATATCAAGTAAAGTAAAAAAATCAAATGTATGAACAAATAAATAAAAATTCAAAAACACTAACATATTTTTATTATTTTTGGTCTACAAATTTATGTATTTAAACCTTTTGCCATTTAAAAAAAAACAAAATTCCCCCTTTTTGGCTTATAAGGGTTGGTGATAAAAAATATCAAAATATTGAAAAATGTAGTAAAATATGTACCTAAAAGTTAAGGAAAACATTTTTTTTTAATATATTCATATTTTCAGAGAAAATGAGTGTCTTACGTTAGTTGTATCACCCTGTATATGTATGCAGTTGTTTTAAGAGCAAGAACTTACAGACCTCACCCATCGTAAGTTATAAATTAAACTAAAATATATCAATAAAAATATTGTTTTTTAACATTACAATAAGTTATTTTAGATACTAAATGATTATTGTTTAAAATGTGTTTGGCATTTGTTTGAGTGTTACCAGCATATCAATATTGAGTTTCAAGTTTACATAATACGTTATTTGGCTTAACTACTAATGCTTAAACCTAACGAAAACTAATAAATAAATATCTGTTGTAAACAATATAAATAGTCGAAAGACAGACGGGTAAGTGACGCCCTCGTTTGTTCCGGGTTAATATTGAATTGTTTGGCTTCAAACCATATGGACGTTTAACCAATGTTATATTATACTTTAACCGTTTAAACGCGGACATTTTATTTGTATAAATTATTGGAGAAACACACATTAGAAAATCCCGTCGTTGTTTCTTATGTAAAATGCAAACATGCGTGCATGTGTATTTTATGGTTGTGTACACTATTTTTTTATGTTAAATAGTTAGATGACTCTTATAACAATTTGTAATATTTAAACGTAATAAATATGATTTTGAATGCGGCTACTTTTAGAGTATTCAAATAAAATATCTGGAACTATATTGACTGCCTAGTTTTACTTTCTCTCGTTAGTTATTATTAATATATATATATATATATATATATATTTATTAAAAAAAATATATTTATTTATCCATAATAACAAGTTTTATTTTGTTTAAGTCTAGTCAAAAATACTAGTTAATATTTTATAAAAGTAATCTCGTTAGTTGTTTCTTCATTCCTTCCAACTTCATTCCTTTATAATACAATTATTCAATATATCCATGTACACGTAAATGTTTATTTGAATTAGTCTTATTATATTAGGACTTGTATGTTATTTTAAATTTTAAACTTAAAACAAGTTAAAACGTACTTAATAAGTTGAAAAGTTTAAATTAACTCATTATTAGTTGCACTTTTATAATACAATTTCTAACGTTTTAGGTAATTTATATATATATATATATATATATATATATATAGATAATACATTTAATAACTCTAATGATGTTAAGTGAGTACACAGAGTTTATTCAACTAAAAAGAACCGGGATTTCTTTGAACAATAACTATTGTTTTATGAATTATCAATGTTTCAGACGTCTTTAAGAGATATTTAATATATTGGATACACGTTGCGTTTTACATGTTAAGAGCTCACATTTTCACATAATATATAATTGTCCATTGTCAACATCTCGTCAAATGCGGATAGTAAGTATATAAACTAGTGAAACCTACAAAACGTCGCGAAGTGCTCGGCGTCGGTTTTACCGATCTGATAGCTGACTACCTTTTGTTCTGATTCCCACACATAATTCCATTACCCAAAAGTATTATGAACTTACAAGTACAGCAAAACGTCCAATCGTATAACAAAAAACTACCTACTAAAGTGTCTAACGGCGATACCAAAATAATCGCTGTTCCGGGTAGCAATGTGAGCTTAACGACTCTTAATTGTAAAACGAATACAAATATTTCCAGAAACTAACGTCCCTTGCGTTAAATTGAAGTAAACAACCTACATACAAGAAAAATATTAAGTATCAGCAAAAATCGCAAAAGTTAAACAGCAACAAGAAACAGCATAACATTTTATAGTTCGTTACACAATTTAAAAGCTTGTCGGTATAGTTGAGTTTGAGTACTGTGTTGGTATGGAAGATACTTGGGGTAGGAAATGGCATGGATAAACGCTAAACATTCCGGGTGGTCACCCATCCGGGATCAAGCAGCGACTGACGCAGCTTAAACTCTGTACCTACACATATTATTCTGATTTTCCACCCGTCCAAACACTACAACAAAAGCATCTCTCTCATAATATCATCACCGTTATTATTATTAAAATGCGGTGCACCGTCACCAACACCTTTATCTGGCTCATGCACACGCACGGTTGTTTTTTGGCCTGTGTGTAGATGTAAGTTATGTATGTGTGTGTATGTATGTATGTATGTATATATTATGTGTGTATGTATGTGTATGCCGACGATATTTAGATTTTTGACAAACGACGACGGCGGCGGTGGACTAAAACGCCATCACTTTATTCCGAACACGTCCGCCGCTTTACGATTGTAATGAGTTATTTGTTCCCCATCCGCGCCGTTTGTGTTTTGTTTTTTTTTCTTTCCAATTTTTCTCCGATGCCAACAAAAGAAGCAATTTAGAGATAAATACGGCGGCGGCTGCCAAATCTACACAGCCAGGACCCGACACAGCACAATCAGCAAAACGCCGAATAGTTTACTAGCGTGTTTTTTGTTTTACCTTTAAAATTACATACATATCTTCAGCTGTTCCATGTTTGATACATGAAGTCGTAGTCCGTGGAACAAACAATTTTTTTTTTTTAACATCATCGATAATATTGTTGTAATATAGTATAAAACCCAACATTATATTATTTTATTTAGGTGTAGCAAGTATTAAATTGTATCATAATAATAAATTGAATTTTAAAAATTGCTAGTTAAATCGAAATGTTAACAAAAAACGCAAGGGAAACTTTATTTCTTTCCTGTGTTTTAGCCCAAATTAATACGAACAAATAATTAAACGTTTACACAATCGAAAACTGCACGCGACGCTTTTTTAGGTAAAATTTTTATGATTTCGTTTGAAGTTTTTTAATGTAATTAAAACTACTAAATTTGATGGCAACTACACGAGCATGGCCGAGAAAACTCACTACAATGCAATACAAATTTTGACAATTTCTACTACTTCGCTCGATCTACGTTCATTATTGACTAGCGTACTACTCGCAACCTTGTTGTAACTTAAAAATAAATTAAGGAAATATTATTTTAGTTTAGTTGATGAATAACAACAAAAAAAAAAATTATATCGTACCTGGACTTGTTTGCCAACTCAGGCCTCCAATGAACATTTTCCTGTAACAAAAAAAAAATGATATAATTTTATAAATAAAATAATATAACTTCATACAACGCGTAATTATAATATTATATAAGCATACTATTTTTAATATTATGAAATATCAAGTTTAAATTATAATATTTTATGAAAAATTCTATACACGGTGTCAGTTAAAAATATAGAAGGTAATCAAAAATGTTTTCCTATTTTTCTAAGTGTCTTAAACAAATTTTATATTATTGCCTAAAAAGTGTCTTCAACCCCCTATTACATAATATGTCTCTATAAAAATGCTCCACGGCCGACAATGTCTCTAGGTATTTATAGTACAATAGTATAAAATAGTATTCTTATAAAAGCGCTAGGTGCTAATTATATCTATAATATTTAAGGTCGTACCATAAAAAATATTTACGAGTTTTTAAATGCTATAATACGAGGTCTGGTAATAATAATAATTATAATAATAATATTAGGTAATGTTAGCCGATGTGGTGATGATGGCGTACGAGGTTCAAGTGTTTGCTGAGATGTGAGCTGTTAATACTTAAATCATAACACGCGTTTTACATAATGGTCCAAAACGTAAGTTAGAACATTGAGATTGCAATCAGAATAGGAAATCGGTTGGCTTAATTAAAAAATGTTTACTCATAATGTTTATGCACATAAATATTTTCTTTTTAGTTAATCTAATTAAAAACCTGATCAGTACAAAATATATATTAAATACCTAAATAACCTTTATTGTGAAATGTATCAACTACAAAACATAGTTATTTGATTAAACACACACGATCGATCAGAGTCTGACAACAAGAGTTTAGCGATAGTTTCTGTGTTTGTATTATTTGAGGTTTATGTTCGTTTATCTTTCTATCTCTATAGCTTGCATTGTCTTTGGGTATATTTGGGAAAAGGCCAAATTACACTGTCCTATGTGATCAAGTGCCAACATTTTGGAAAAATACTGCATTCAAATTTCTTAATATAATTATTAGAAGCACAACAATAGCGTTGTGGATTATATAAATACTGACAACCTTAACTACATCATGAATGAATTAGCTATTAAATGATATGACAATGTTATTGTTAGTTTTTCAAGTAACAAAATGTATTTTACTAATGAAAATCAATTCCAACTTATATTGTTAATAACCGCTACATTAACAGATCACTTTTGTGATTGACACCGCTATCACTATTAAGTAAAATACTTTTTTTTTTTTATATTAGTTAATTATAAAAAATAAAGGGTTTTTCATCAAACGAAAAATAATAATATACACTGTATACTGCGAATACATCCATAATGGGAAATGGCCACATCGTCCTTGTATTATACGAAGAAAAACTTCATTAAAAAACGAAAATGAAATTTCATCGAATACTTCTTCGGAAAATTAGAACTATATTAGTCGCAACTAATTTTACTAATTATAGATGTATCTGTGCTCAATTTCTTTAGATAACGCAAAGATTACAGGTTTATCAGTATTTGTGTACCCGGTACTGTACAGAAATTAATTTTAACTGACATTGGTATAATTCTTAGTAATTATTCTCATATGTTTTGTTGTAGCTTGTAATAATTTAAGTACCTAGGACCTAGGTATTTGTTGAAGCTTTACTATTCACGGAAACTTTTTCGATATACGTTCAAATAAAATATTAAAATATAAAAATACCATATTACAATAATATAATTTGTGTAAATATTTTAAGGTAATAAAATGTTTGCCTTATTGCACTCGTATAACTAAATGACTAATTAAACTGGTATTACTTCGTGTAGGTCTCCTATAAATTTATTTTTGTATATGCGCAGTGATGATACGTGAAGATAATAATAATATAGTTCAAGAAAATACAACAGAGATGGAAACAATTCAAGCTGTCATATTTTGTTTGATATTCAAACTCACGCATGTAGTCGTAATCAGTGCGCGTCCCATGTATCACAAAATGTCTACAATTTTTTTTCAACAAATTTATTTCAATGACTCATTTTTCAAATTTAAATGTATTCATTAAACTCTATGTACTAAAATAATATCCTTAAAACGTAGCGATTTCTAATTCTTTAGATATTGTTATCTAAAGATATTGCACAATTCATAGTAGGTATTACTTATACGTTTTAGTAAAACATCAACTCAATATTTATTCTTGAACATTCATAGGCTACATTTACCATCACGTGGAGATTAAAACAAATCCACCATAATTATCAATATTATAAGGTTTATATTATACAAATTCAATGTAACTTTCATTGGGATTTTCGACTAAATTAAAGGCCCATAACGGTTGGTACGAACAATTGATAAATTCAATGGCCGTGATCACGTGTCGCTCAATAATGTTTAAGGAAACTAATGCTACCAAATGTATTATTGGTTTTAATTTATTTTAATGGACGCTTGTGAAACTTATTGGTTTTATGTTATTTTCTAATACATTTTATTTTATAAGGATATATTATAAAATTAGTAGGACATAATCATGTGGCCTGTGCTTATACTGAAGTGTTATACGGACACATATTATAATAATGTATACCACCCATGAGTGACAGAGTAACATGGTTATGTTGTTAAAACCACTGAGTACCACAACCGCAGTAGTAAATTAATTTTTGTTATCGAACAAAAGTGGTGATAGTCAAATATAGTTTCAATCACACGTGACACGACCACATAGCGTCTGGTGTCTGCCGCCTGGTGCTTGGGTACACGTAAAAAAGGTTATAATAATTATCGCCCCGTGCAAACAGCTTTACTGTTTTGTAAACCGATTGTTTAAAAAAGGTCAAGTGACGGTGTTGTAAGTATTGGCCGGGCGGCACGACTGGAATACAATTTTATTATGTTGTCAAAAGTCTGTTTGCCTCGGTGCGGTCTTTGCTCGGAAACAGTTTTCGGTGTGTCTTTGTTGCTGTAGTTCTCCGAGATCTTCATGATCAGAAAATATAGGAATTAAAGAAAAACAAAATTTTAAAGGTAAAGAGTCTCATACAAGACCCTGGATAGATAAGACGAGTAAATAGTGTTTTGAGAAACCTTGTTTGGTTTGCATAAGATTATTGTTTCAGGCTGAACAAGGCGGTGGGGAAGACTGAATGGCTTTGCTTATCTTAATATATATAATATATTATAATGAAGTGTCTGAGAGTGTTAGTGTGTAATATTTTCAAATACTTACTGAGAACTCACGAGGTTTTACACTCGAGAATATTTTTAAAAAAATAAGGTTTGTACAATACAATAATTTTTCTGTTTTTAATGTTGTTATTCTCCTTTTTCGATTGGATATTGTCGTCATTTCTGTTTATATTTACTTATTTTATTTATTCCAATTTATTCACGTTACAACAACGATGTGAAAATAAATAATAACAGATGAAAAATTCAAGTGCAAGATCATAATATAAAATAACAACGTTATATAACATTTAATTAATAGGTGTTAAGCGTACCATTTAAACAAGACATTTCCTTGTACCATGCGCACATATTTACCGAAATTAATACTGTTTTTTAACTTTTTTACGCAGTTATAAAACAGTGTTCCCATTTCCAACTGACAATTTGAACGATGAACAAGACAATTTGAATTTTCATTCCAGAAGAGTACTCGTCTAAGAAATAAGTAATGACTGATCAGAATTCAGTTTAAAACTATAATTTTATAAGAGTATTACGGGTTTAAATTATAAGTAAGTGGGTAGTGTGGTGTATAAATCGCTTCATTCTTCTCGCAAGGAATATAATCTTTGTAGCACTTATAAACGTCATAATTCTATTCAAAAATTATTGATCATTCACTAAACATTAGTATTATTGTTTTTCTAATGAGGCAAAAACAATTTTTACTGAAGATTAGTTTAAGAAGTACCGTCCCATAAACATTAGGCGCTCAATTTGTTTTATAGTAAGGACAGAGGAAAGTGTAAATCGGTAAAAAAAACTGTACCATTTTAACAGATTTATCAAGAACTGCTTTTATTAAATACATAATAAAAATACGTCTCTATAGTTTTTATATTCAATATTACATAACAAAAATACTAAATCGTATACTTAGTTACCCTCAATACTTAACAAGTCAAATTTAAAAAAAAATGTACTATACTGTCAATACAAAGTAACTCATCATATTTTAAAATGTTTGTTGTTAATGTGTGTGTTTTTTTTAACTCGACAATTTGTAACTCCGTAAAACCGCCAGAAAGAGATTAGCTCTAATTTAACTGATGAGTAAGACAAATTATAACTAATAAATTAAAATGCTTACGCACATTATATAATACCAACAATATTATACAGTGTATCATTTCATATGCAATAACATTTTCATTACAAAGCATTTTGAACAATTTATTTGAATATGGTTATCATATACATTCAAATAACTATTACTTAGTACTATTATAAGCTACTACCGAAAAAATTAGTTAAAAATAAATATTTTCTGTATTCCGCTTTAATGCAACTCTAAAAGGACAAAATGTTACAATGGTTAGAGCGGTCGTTTACCTTACTTTTGGCTACTTTTACTTTACTTTTTAACTATATTAATAATTTTAAAATGTCTTAGGCTCATTAATTGTATGAGTTATTTAAAAATAATTAATCGGCTTACGGCTTAAGCTCGGGGTGTAAAGATTTATCAGACACGCATTCGCGAACCCATAACAGTTTGTGTGCATGCCAATGTTCTGCGTTAAGCGATATGTGTAAATAAATCTCTAACTCGATTAGTGTGTCAAAATAAATCCAACAGAACTTTGCATTTTTAATTTAGTGTTTGTTTATTATTTCTTTTGCAGTTTTTAAACTACTGCTTTTTTTTAAGAGAACAGCTTTTAATTTAATTTAAATAATTTTTTGGAGTTTTATGTAGATTTTTAGGGTTTTTATCAAATAAAATTATCGCATTTTTTAATGCTCTTTAAATATTTATAAACGTGACAGTTAATTTTTAATATTTGCTGCGCGTGTAATTACAT